CTCAATCTGACTATGAAGGAAGTTGTTCAAAGAGAGGTACTGAAACCTCCTGAAGCAAGTATGATTTATCCAATCTCTGACAATCGTAAGGTTATTCGCAATGAAAAGAATAAATTCATTCTCACAAGGACAGTCAAGGGATGGAGAATGCATATAGATCACCTTGATCACTCACCTGCATGAGCCTTAAAACAAACAAGTGCTCCTGGGAGGCAACCCAATGTTTTGAATTTTTTTTTTCTTTTTGCAGTTTAAGTTTTTTGTGCATTTTTCTTCCTTAGGTTCTTTCTTTGCAAGATTTCTCCAGGTACACAGTAAACTTCTCCTCAAGACTTTGAAATCTTACTTCAATGGCCTAGGGATAGTCCAACTTTTCCGGGAGGGGTGAGAAAGTCTGTAGCTGAGGCGAAGGCACAAGAAGGAGGAGAATCAGCAAGTGAAGAAGAATAAAAGGGAGACAACAATTTAATTTAAGTTTAAGTTTTTTTTGGTGTGTTAAGTTATTTGTTTTGTTAATTTGATATTTTTAAGTTTTTTATTATTATTTTAATTTGTTTTGTTTTGAATATGTGAATTGACACTTAATATGGTGAATGTTTTAAATTGATGTGATTAAATTGTTGTCCCATACAATTTGGATTAAAGCCAATTATGAAATTATTGTTATTGTCTAATTCAAATCTGGAACTTGAAGAAAACCATTTTGATTGCTCCAATAACAAGTGATTTTGGGATGATGAGTATGATAGTGAAAAGGAATTGATAAGGAGAATTAGGAATTAATTGAATTGGAGAAGCTAGTTAAAACCCAGGTGAGTAGAGTACCACAAACAGTTCAAATTAAGTGTCAACACTTTATGATGATAACTAATATTGATTGATTCTTTGATGTGATTGCATGTTGGTGAGACTTGAAAATGATAAAGGCATTTTTTTCTTTGTAGTAGATATAACCCAGAGCCAAATAGTCAACCCTGCATTAATTATAGGACATCCATTTGAACCCCTTCTGAGCCAAAAATAATATTGTTTCTTAAACATAACTCCTAAGCTTAAACACAATTTATCTACCTTCCTATATTTGAGAAAGGAAATGAGTATGAATGTCACTATTTTTCCTATTGTTGGGTATTGCTATTGTTGTCCTACAGGTATTATTGGGGTGTTCTTAAAAAAAAGTGTAAAGTAAAAGAAAAAACAAAGCTTAAAAATTATGGCAAAGCCAAAAAGGATACATGCAAAAGCATGAGGAAAAAAAAAAGAGGTCAAAAGGGGGGAATAATAACTTGTGAGATTATTAACTCACTATCATTATGTTAGGGACAAAAGCATGAAGTTTGAAACCTGACTTGAGGAAATGTAAAACAGGAATCATTCATGAGTTGAATTTCTCAAATATTTTTGTATATCCCAGAAAAACCAATGAATTCCTTCTTAGCCCAGCCCTATTATAAGCCGCAAAAGACTTTTTGATTTAAGTCTTGCTTAACAAATATTGATTGCTTGAAGATGATTATCAATATTGGATTGTCTAAATGAAGTGATTGAATGAGATAAACACTTACCTGTGAGGATAGTTGAGGACTAATTATTCTTTGTTAGTTTCTGTAACTTGAATGCTTATGTGTTCTATTTTCATTTGGAGTGTTAGGATCGAACGTTTACCACTAGGCCAAAAGCTATAGCTATTAGTCAGAGCGCAACTCTTTTTACTTAAGAGTAACAGCCCAAGCGCCACAATTCGATTGTGACTCGGCCCACCCAGCCTCTGCCACAGGATAATTGATGCTACCTGCAACAATCTCCCCATTAGTCAGAGCGCAACTCTTTTTACTTAAGAGTAACAGCCCAAGCGCCACAATTCGATTGTGACTCGGCCCACCCGGCCTCCGCCATAGGATAATTGATGCTACCTGCAATAATCTCCCCCTCAGCAATTGTCCTACGAGGATTGTGACTTGGCCCACCTAGCCTGCGCCACGGGACAATTGTGAAACCCGCAACAATCTCCCCCTTAACAATTGCCCACCAAGAATCGAACTTGTGACCTTGGCTCTGATACCAATTGTTAGGATTGAGCGCTTACCACTAGGCCAAAAGCTATAGCTATTAGTTAGAGCGAAACTCTTTTTACTTAAGAGTAACAGCCCAAGCGCCACGATTCGATTGTGACTCGGCCCACCCGGCTTCCGCCACAGGACAATTGATGCTACCTGCAACATGGAGTTGTAAGCATCACCTCTGAAAATTTTTATGTTGTGGTTCTGGAAGAGAAAGTGATAATAGGCAATGGTTTTATTTTGGAAAAATTACTTTACTTGGGACAAGCAAGATTCTAGGTTTGGAGGAGTTGTTAAGTGATAAAAAGTTGATATAATTATGCCTTTAATTGTTATGAAATCACTTAACTTATGCTAATTTTAATCTATTTTTCTCCCATTATAGGATGAATTCGAGAATACCTTGATACAAGAGTAAGTAGCATAATTGTCAGCATAATTGGAGTAAAACTGGAAGAAGGAAGAAGATTTTCAGCATGGAGTAATGAGCATAATTATCAGCATAATTGGAGTAAAATTGGAAGAAGGAAGAAGATTTTCAGCATGGAAGTCGCTCGAGCGGGTTGGACTCTCGCTTGAGCGAATATCAGTTATTCTTCTCTGGAAGTCAGTCGCTCAAGCACAAGAAAATTTGCTTGAGCGAATGTTAGTTATTCTTCTCTGGAGTTCACTCACTTAAGCGAGCGTTTTGTCGCTTGAGTGAAAATAGGCAACTTTCGCTTGAGCGAAAGTTGTCGCATGAGCGAAAGTTGTCGCTTGAGTGAAAGACGCGAAGCCCAAAAGCCCAATTTTTCCTATAAAAAGAGAATATGTGTTTTGAGAAAATGAAGCAGTTTTGGAGAAGAAGAGACGCAACTACTGCTAGGGTTTCGTCCAATCTTCATTAATTCTTCACTTCTTCCACATTTGGAGTATTGTAATGGCCAACATGAGTGACTAACTTCATTCTCTTGGGATTTGGTGCACTTCCTTTGTACTCTTTTGTATCATGGTGATATTTTGAGATATTAATCTATGTTTTGATGTTGTTATTCTTATCCTTTGTGCTTTGGAATGATTTATTCTTGATGTTTGAGGTATGATTGGAAAATATATTTTGAACCTTAGATCGTGGTAAGAATATTTGTTACGTTAATTGCCAAGAATGGAATAAATGTATCAAATGCTTAACACCCTAAACCTAATGCTGGAAAATCTCTTAATTGTGTGAGGAATCAACATTTATTAGGTTTTCTTATGAATTTTACGTGTGAGGAATCAACATAGATGATTTGAGTAGGTGGCATCAACATTATTAGGTTAACTGACAAAGTCATTACAAAAGAGGGATAAGAAAGGAAACCAATCCTAATTATTGCAAAATCAAATATGTTTTAATCCATTTAGTAAGCATATAATTGGAAATTTCCATTGAAATCGTTTCTCGTGGGATCGAATTTTATTTAATCGAAATATTATACTTGCGATTGATAATTTTGGTACGCTTGTCAATAATTCAACAAAAATGTGAGAGGATAAAATTATAAATATGTAAATAAATATATTAAATAATCACTAATTAAAATTTCCAACGGACAAAATCCATCGCTAATCAAGAAAATTGTGTTTACCGATGGGCAAAAATCCGTCAGAAATTGTGTTGTCGGTAAATATGACCGATGGATTTATAAAGTTCAGTCGATAAGTAGGTATTTTATTATTTTTTTAGAAATTTCAATTATTATTCGATTAAGAAAATTTATTTATTTTTTAATACCCTCTATTTATCTAGAGGTCTGCCTCCCTTTATTTATTACATTTTTTAGAAATTTAACCCGAGTACCTTAAAGTTGGAGGTCGATACTCCAACCACTAAGCTACTAGAAATTTCTTATAATAATTTACAAATAAATTATATTTATATACAAATAAATGTATATCCATATAAATATATAAATATAAAATATATAAATACAAATATATTAATATATTTATATGTTGGATGTAAGGGAGTGCTTCGAAGGTAGAAGTGTGTGTCAAGTGAATTTTCAAAAATTTAATGCCAAATTTGTAAGCGGGTCTCTTTATATGGGTTTGTAATTTAATGATAGAATATAATCTTTATAATTTACTTATATAATGATATAAAATGATTTTTTTCTTTTTTTATTTTTATTTATTCATTTTATCTTTTTTTCTTTTATTATTTAATTAAAATTCTTATATTAAAATATTTTTTTCAATATTAAAAATAGTTAAATATTTATTTTTAAAATTATTTAATTTAAAAAATTATTATAAATTAATCTAATTATGATTAAATTAAATTATTAAATAAAAAAATATTTAATTTTTTTAATTAGGTGAATAATTAATTTATTAGAATATATTTAAAATTAAGTAAATTTATTAGAATATATCCGATCGGTAAATAATTGTTTATTTACCGATAAATTTATCGACAGATATATTCGATCGGTAAATAATTATTTATTTATTAAAGAAATTTTTTTGACAGATATATCCAGTTGATAATTAATTATTTATTTACACTAAATTTCACAATTACATTAAATCTGTCGGTAATCAATTATTTTTTAACGACTATATATCAGTCGATAATTAATAAATTTTATTATATTATAAGTTAGGGGATCATAATTATAAATATAAGAGAATTCCAAAACTTTGAAGAGAAGTCACGCCAGCTATAACTCATCCAAGCAAGGTATAGATGAATGAATCTCCTCCACAACCATATATATGCTGACAAACAACTGCAGAACCCAGTTTCCAAAATTGGCATGACATGTGTCCTCGGGAACGCAAGTGAAGGAGGAAAATGTGAATCTCACAAACTATATAAGTTGCATGAAAGAGTATGAAGAATAAGCATCAGAAAAAGTGAAATCAGCAACAGTTGATTATTTGATAAACAGTTGAATACAGAAGAAGATCGAGATGGACTCCCAAAACGCGAGCTTCAATGCTGGACAAGCCAAGGGCCAGGCTGAGGTCTGCCATTAACATTGTGTGTTCATATATAGTGTGTTGATCGGCATGCATCCTGAACATTGACAAGTGTTTGTGTGTAAATGTTGCAGGAGAAGGCTAGCAGCATGATGGACAAAGCTAGCAATGCAGCTCAGTCTGCTCAAGACTCCATGCAACAGGTTCTTCTGTGCTTTCTTTCTCAACATTTTTCCAAATCAAATAGATCAAGAATGATGTCATGACATGCCTGTTTAATACAGAATTACATTCATCATGAAATAATGAATAACATGTTTAATCCCAAATCTTTTCGTTAACAAATTGGTTTCCATAAATTGTTGTGTGCAGACTGGGCAGCAAATGCAGGAAAAAGCACAAGGAGCTGTTGATGCAGTGAAGAATGCAACTGGGACGAACAACTAATTTAATTATTCTCCACTTTCTTTCCCTTCAAATAAACTCATCATTCCTTTTTATTTCAAATGTATTCATCTTATTTCATTTTCCGTGATTCCATTTTTCTTCAAATGTAATCATTTTATACTTTTATCAGAGAATCAAGATTCATGTTTCGAATTTGAATTTATCCGCAGATATTATAGCCTATACATCTAGCTATTTATAGTTTTTTTAATAAATGTGAATATTAAAATATTATTGGAAAAATTAGATATTCTAATTAACTTGAAATCCCTCAATCATTTATTATTTGTTTCATATCAAATATTATATATTAAAGAAAAAAAAAACAAATACAAGATTCATGTGAAGGTTAAACCAAATTTATGACAAAAATAAGTAAATATAAATTTATCCATATTTGTTTATTTTTAAGGAAATTAGGTCTAATTATTTTAAATTTTATTTATTTTTAAGAAAAATATATAAAATATTATATATTTTCACACACAAAATATTGTCAAACAACAAAGATATTTAAATTTTATTAATACTTTAAATTTTGATTCAATCTTTTTTTTAATTTTATATTTTTATTTATTTTTGAAATATTAATTACTTTATTCTACGGTATTTTTTTACTTTGTTTTTTGTTTTAATTAGATCTAAACAAAATAAACCTTTGATTATGTATAAAAGTTGAAACTTATATTATATTGACTTTTTCTAATTTTAATTTTAATGTTTGTAAATTTGTAAACAATTTCATTTTTATTAATTTTAAATTAAAATCTTCAATATTTTGTGATGATATTTTCTTAAACGTAAAATTCATCAAAAATCTAAATTTTCGAAAATTTTTATTTAGTTTTGAAAAGTTTTATTAGTTTTTTATTCTTATTGATGATTCTGTTTATTATATTTGACGATGAGATAATCTTATAAGTTCAAAAATTTTATAAGATGATAAACACTTAATATAACTCAAATTCTGATTTTTTAATTAATTAATATCAAAATTTTAAGTTTTAATAATATTCATAAGTTAATAAAATTATTAATTAAATTATTTGTTGAATTCCCATAAAACGAGAATTATTTAGAAAAAATGTCGACATTTATTAGAATATAATTCTTTTATTAAGACACATACTACTTGCTCTTAGAAAAAATATTCTACGATGTATTTAATAAATCAAGTATCATTTTCAACATCATATATAAATAAATAAATAAATAAATAATACAATAATAACCAAGGAATACAAGTTTGTATGCACAATTGTTACAATTTTTTATTTTTATTTTTTGTGTTTCTCATTAGCATATTATTTATTTATATTTTTTTATAGATTTTAGAATTTGATTCTAAACATTTTAGTATTGGTACTTAGAATCAAAATTCACTTCTTTTTATTAAACAACCAATGTTTATATCTCAATTGAATGATATATAAACGAGTTAAAAACATGTTTAGATAAAGAATGTTTCATAATTTAAAAAATAATAATTATTTTGATTTCAAATTGCTTAATTTCATATTCCTCAACTTGAGAATAGGAAAATAGGAGTGGAAAGCCTCATAAGAAAATGGTAGTCGAAAGTCTCTACCTTTATCATTAATTATTATTATCACTAATTGTGTTTCACTAATTGTTATTAGGAAAACACAAATAAAATTGTTTGATAAGAGTGAAGATTAGGAAAGATCATGAAGCTAAAATAGATAATTCCCTCTTTGATAATTAATCCGTTAAAAATTGGAATAGGACGGACGAATTCTTATACTTAGAATATTGATTGCAAAATTTATCTTATTAAAACGTTAATATTATTTTTATATATAAAATGTTGATATATATATATATATAAATATATATATATATATATATATATATTAAAAAAATACAATTTTAATTAATGAATAAATTTTTATTTTTATTTATTAATTAATATTTTATTAAATAAATTAAAAATATTTACTACATTTAAAAGTTAAAGTATCTAATTATAATTAATAATTTAAATTTAATAATTAATATTTATTGTATAAATTATAATATTATAATATATTTATAAGTTTTAATAATATTATAAAAAATATAATATTTTTAATTATATTATTTTATTTTAATATACATTTTTTAAAACGGGTTAAATCACATGTGAATTGACATATTAGACAGGATAGTCGCTCAACTTAACCAGTTTTGTCTTCCTTAGAAAAAATATGTTTTTTTTATATTATTTTTATTTTATAGTTTTTAAAATTAAAAAAATTATTTGATAATTATTTTATTAAAATAATTTTAAAAATTTTAATTTATTTTAATTTTTAAAAATTAAAAAAATAAAATAATAAAATATGTTTTTTTATTTACTTCTCTATTTTTAAATATCAACCTTTTTATAAATAATTATATTGAATTATTCGTTTTTATTAATCTATTAAAATTCTTTTTAAAATTTTTGTCACAATTTTTTATAATTATTTATATTATTTTCATTCATTCAAAATAATTATAAAAAACTAAATTATTGAATAAGTATTTTTAATTTATTTTTAAAAATAATTTTTTTAAAATTAATCTCTAAAACTATTTTTAAAATATGAAAATTAAAATTAAAATTTTTTATTGATTTTCTAGATTATGAATTGTAATTATCTTCTTCCATTCATTTTATTTTCATCTCATGTTTGCCCTTTGCTTTGTCTCCCATTACATTTGTCATTTTTTTAGCTCAATTAATCATCAATTTACCATAAGCAACCCAAAACCTAGTTTTCTTTAACTAGCTGCAAAACCAAATACACCCTAAATTATAGATTAAAGTGTTACATTATTTACAGTTTTTCTTACTTCAATCAAATAAGTTCCTCCATGGTATTGTCCCAAGGAATCACAACAATGCTACTGCTTGAGAAATGAGTGCCAATTGGTTCATGTATGAGTCAGAAAAAAGGGTGTGGGAGGGGACCAATTAATATACGTTCCTTTTTGGTTCAATACATGCTTGAATTTGATCAAAAGTGGCTACATAAAAGCACTGAAGAGAGGTTCTCAATGGAGGGAAGGAATTTCTAAAGTGGTGCCCTTTTGTAAGAGGCATGCGTGTGATCTTTGTCTTTTGAATCCTATTTGGCTCATCATTTTTTTCTACTTCATTAACTCATAACAAAATCTGTTTGGTCTTCTGCTCTCTCTTCTGTGCAGACCAAGAGACCTTATCATTGATTAAAGCATAGATGGCTAAGCAATTGAGATGTTCTTTTGCACCCTCCATTGTACAAAATCTTGTGTCATGCATGAATCATAAGCTTCATAATTTGTCAACCTTCAGTTTTCTGTTCTAAAACCCTCATTTCTGACATATCCCTCAGAAGATATATATATATATATATATATATATATATATATATATATATATATATATATATATATATATATGTCCTACATGATCCCATCATCTGGTTGATTGCGTTCTGAGCTGCATATTTTCTACATGATACCCTTTTAATTTCTCTTAGAAAAAAATGACACATTTCTTTGACCCATCTTAATAAAAAAAAATACAAAAGTTAATTCTATCATTTTTAAAATAAAAGGTGTCTAAAAAAAGTATGTTCTTAACCCTTTTTTTCTGTATGTATATAAATACAATTTGATGCTGTCACAGACAGGGTTTCCATATGTGGTGGCCAAATGGACCGAATGAGACTTATCAATGAACAAAATGGTTGATATTGACAAATGAAACCCTTTTGTTCCCTTATTGTCATTATTGTTTTAATTTTCAAATTCTTGCCATTTGTCAACATTAATGAAGCATGTTTTTCTTCAAAATCAAAGAGTATATGGTCCATGAATTTCCAAGAGAAAGTCTTTCTGAATAGTGTGCATTCAGACAATTAATGAGGCAGGTTACAGAACTGCAGAAAAGAAGGAAAGAAACAAAGGACAAGTTATATAATATGACAAAATCCTCATAATCTCGTGATGATTAATAGCTAGAGCATATACCCGTATTCATTTCAAATTAATTGAAAAAGAAGCTGGGAGCAAAAACTAGAGGAGAAAATAATGTTCATATCATAAATTGAACTGAGATAATGATCTTAGGTCAAGTACTTTTTTAAATTTTTTATTCAATTCTATCTTTTCATAGTTTCTTAATAGTGTTATAAAATATTACTCATCAACAGGTGTCACAAAACTTTAGTTAGTTCATGATAGTCATGTCTCGTGTCTTCTTGCAGATTCAGAATCTAGTGTTTATGATGGCACATATTAATGTAAGATGTTTATACCCATATATGAACCCAGAAAACAGAAATTAAAGCCACCTTTAATATTTCTCTGGTTCTGTGATTGGAATTATCATGAAATGAATCATCATATCGCAAAATGTTTGGGTTGCACACATATTATTAATATATAAACTTTGTTGCTTAAAACCAAAGTTTTGTAGTTTGTTTGGTAGATGGAAAGCACCAAATGCCCTGGAGCACTGGAACTGGTTGGCCACAATATTACTACAATATAATGAAGATATGTGAGTTGACTCTTTGGCTTAATTATAAAGCCTTACATGGTGCTTACTGAACTATAATCGTAGTTTAAATAGTTTAACATTTTGTTTTTTTAATGAAAATTTTGGAATTTGATCGTTGATTTAGAGAAGTACTACTTTACTCTCATAATGGACTTGTTAGAAATTGACCGTACAAACATAATAAGAGTTGCACCTTTCTTGTTTTATAAATCTCCTCTATTAATAAATATTTATGATCAAGAAAAATAATTTGATAAGTCTACTATTAATATATTATATTTAGATTTTATTTAATATTAAGGGAATTAGATTGCTTTAATTTTGTAATACAAAATTTAGATGTGACTAGTATAATTTTTACGATTTTTTTATTATAAAACTATAAAACATATTATAATAAAATAATTATTGAATAAAAAATATATTATAAAAAATTATATATAATTAATTATGATATTCATAATTTTAATTTATTTTTATATAATTTTATATTTAATTTAAATGCTAATAATAAATATTTTAAATTATAAAAAACTAATCACTCAATCTTATAAATATTATTTAATATTTAAATTTTAGAAATATATATTATAATTTCAATTTGATTTAATTTAAATTAATTTAGAATCTAAAATTTAGGATTTTAAAATTTTTCAATTCAAATATTTTTTATTTTAATTGATTTTTTTATTTTTGAAATAATTTAATTTTAAACTATCCATAAGTCTCACCTAATTCCGATATTGAATAACAGTAACATTCTTAGCTTATATAAACAATTTTTTTTATGATTAAAATTTCAAACAAATCATAACATATATAAATATACTTAAGATTTCAACGTAATAATAAGTATATTTTAATAAATATTTAAATCATTAGATAATGGAGAACTTTCAATACGTTTTCTTTACTATGAAATGAAATAAAAAATATTTTTAACCCACGGTAAAAAAATCAACTTTTACTCAATACAACAATAAAAAAGAATTGGACTTTAACTTTAATATTATGTTAAAATTTGAATATAAAACTAATTTATTATTATAAAATATTTGAGATGGAAACAAATTTTAATTATAACTCTATAAAATGAATATATATATATATATATATATATATATATATATATATATATAAATGGATTAGAAAAAAAAAAAAAGAATTTGGGAAAGAAAATGATTTGTCGCGGTGGTAGGTGAGGCCATGCATGTCACTCTTTGGACCAAACTGAATCATAGTGTGGGAAGTGCACAGCTAGCACAGGTATAAAGTGGATCATACTTTGGAATCTTTCCAACACCTTAAAAAACTCTCATCAAACAAAATGGGACAAGATGTTCCCTCACTTCACATTTTCACCTTCTCCATCTCAATGTGTAACTTTCACTTTATCTTCTTTCTATCTCTCCATACATTATCATTAACTATTTACCACTCACATTATAAGAACATTATTCTTTTTTTTTTGTTATATTCCATTTTTATAAATATATTGTTCCCTTGATAGTAGAATTCTGAAGTCTGACATCTTCTGTAGCCCACAAAAACTTGAACCATGCTCATATATTTATCTTTATTATAAATATACCTAACCCTCTTTTGTGCATCTTCTATACATTTAACCATTTTATTTTTTTCAATGCAACTTTATTGATTTATACGTATTTAAATTTTGAAATAATTTTTCTCATTTTAAAAGAGCTAAATTCTTTAATCTGTATAACATATTCATTTAAAATCAAACATGTGATTGAAAATAATTTTTAAGTTTTCCTTTCAGATTTTTTTTATAGAATTGTTTTTTTTTCTTCGTTAAAGATATGATTGGATAAAATTATTTATAAATATTTTTACGTTAAAAATTAGAAAAATAAATAAATGATGAGATATCCATAATTTATATATTTTCTCTAAATTTTTATTTTTTATCTCGTCCATAAATTAATTTTAATTAACTTATGAAAATGATCATTTTTTTATGAAAAAATTGTCTAATTTAATAATATTAATTAAATAATAATTTATCTTTTACTCAATTCATTAATAAAGTCAGTAATTGTTGAATTAGAAAAAAATTATCTTTCATCTTGCATACTAGGCTAAAACCTATATTATGAGACGGTCTATCTTAACAACATAATTAATTCTATTATTCTTCTTTAAACAATTCAATAAGCATATAAGTAATATATATATATATATATATATATATATATATATATATATATATATATATATATATATATATATATATATATATATTGTGCTTCAAATTATGTCCAATATTATATAGATTGATATTGAGAATACCCTAAAATTTTGATTCAACCACTAAAGTGTAGGTCCTATAAGACGGTGGGCATGGAAATTATATACACATTAGCATAAAGCTTCTCTCTTTACTAATTTTGCTCTTTGTTCAATTGGGACACAATCATTTACTTTCATAATGTGGAACAAAACAACCATATTCAAAATGATCATGGCCTTGTCAATATAGTCAAACAGCTACACTGTGTCCATGTTTGGAACATCATGACCATAGGTGGGCAAAACATCAACCTAATAATACAAACTAAATATGAATATAGTGGGAACATATACTTTGAAATTTTGGAAGAAAATTGAAAATAATTAGAAGAAAGAAAAGGAAAATACCATTAGAGAGTATGAAAAAGATTTTAATTGAGTCAAGTTTATGAAATGTGGTAGATGAGTCCAATATGTATCTGAACTTATGCTGAGAAACACAGTCAAATCGGTTTCACGTGATTGAGTACTTGAAAATCTTCAGGACCAAGTTATATACTACTAGCTACTTGCTAAAATCCAATCAATTGAAGTACACTGTTAAAAATATTGTTTTTTTTATGAACATGTATTCATTATGTATTTTTTTTTATCCAGAAGATATAAACAAATCAAAATATCAACTCAATTTTTTTAGATATTATAATTAGCTTTCTTATACTATTTGTAATAGTTTATTATGATGATTGCATTTCCATTTTCATTTGAAGTTTAGTTTTATGTTTTTAAATGTTAAATTATTCCAATCAAATTATATTTTTCTATCAATGAATAAAGTTAATAGACTCAATATTCGATTATTATATTAAGTAATAATTTATGTTCAAACAATATAAATTGTTATCTCGTGAGAATATAAAACTTAAATAATTTATGTAAATTGTTGCGGTAAATATATATATATATATATATATATATATATATATATATATATATATATAACATTTTGAGTTTAACTCATTTTCCTATTTTATTGATATAATTCTTTTATCTATGTTTCCAATCCCTTCCAAACCAATCATTATACCATTTATTTTTTATTTATAAAAATATGTCCTTTCAAAATTTTCTGGAACCATTATATCACCTTAAGGGAATTATTCTCCTGAGTTATTCTAATTAATTTTATTGATATATTAATAATTAGTAGGTTATCTTACAAAAATAAAATTATTAATTTTGTACAAGAGATATTTTAAAAAACATATTTAATGTAATTTTGGACTTCTTCATCTGTTTTCAAAAATATATTTTATTTTAAAATTAAAAAAAATTGTTAACGTTCATTTTTAACAATTATTAAAATTAAAAAAATGGATAAAAAATATTACTTATTTTTAACTTTTTTTATTAATAATATATATATGTCATCAATATCATTTTTTTTGTTATTATAAAATTATTAAAATTATTATTCAAGATTTGATCTTTTATCATTATTAATGTCATCATTTTTAATTGAAAAGAGTTTTCAAATTAAAACAAACAAACCATTTAAATGTTTTCAGTGTAAAAACTTTATACCAACTTACAATTGTTCAAGATTTAATTAAAATTAATTCATTGACATATAATAGATTTTTTTCTTCACCTATTAAATTTATAATTCAGAAATAACATCATTCTATCAATATTTACCTGACTAGCATTATTTTCAGATTTTTTTTCTAGTAGCATGCTATTAAATTTATAATACAGAAATAACATCATTCTATCAATATTTACCTTATTACACAATTTTCAACTTCACTAATTAATATAATTTTTAAAATAAAATAATATTTATTAAATATAAATATATATTTTTTATAGAAAATAAATATATAAATATTATATATATTTAAAAAATTTTATTTATATAATTATATGAAATAAATATAAATATATTTTTTAAATAACATAAAAATATATTTATATAATTATATTATTAATATATTTTTATAAATATAGTAAAAACAAATATATTTAATATATATATATAATGTTTAAATATTTATTTATATTTTTATAAATATAATAAAATTTAATAAATATATTTTATTATATTATTAATATATTTTTATAAAAATATATTTTAATATATTTTTATAAAAATATAAATAAATATTTAAACATTATATATATTAAATATATTTGTTTTTACTATATTTATAAAAATATAACAACTAAACGATGTAATTCAATTAATAGTTTCTTTTCATGATAGAACAATTAAATTATCTTTTACCAATTATTTTAAAAATTATAGTTAAAACAATATTAAGAATGTAAAGACACTAAAACATTAAGAAAGTTAAAAATCAAACTATCGGAAGTATTTATTTCGATTTTTTTTAGATATTTCCAAAAATATATGGAGAGTAAATTTATATTTCCATATTTGTTACAAAATCAAACAAAAGTTGTTTTCAAGTGTAAAATATTGGAAAACAAAAATGTTTTCTCGTCTCTCTAAAATAATCAAAGTTTAGTTTTCGTCTATAATATACCTCCAAATTCAAACAGAGAAATTCTATGAAAATAAAAATTGTTTTTAATGATAAAGTTAATTACATTCTAAGGGTAAAACAAAGCTTCTCAATTATACATTTTAGAAAAAATAAAAATTGGTTAGACAAGTATTACAGTATTTTTTGGACTTGTAACAACCCGTAAATTCTACTTAAAATTTTTACTAAATGAAGGAAGAAAATAACTTTTTCACCTAAGAGAGAGATAATAGTTCAGTTTACATATCCAGAATAGTTGAAAAGAAAAAAGAAAAGAAAACATCACACATCAAAAGTCCTAATTACACAAATGTTTTACACCTAATTACACAGCACAAAATAACTCTTTCAAATTTAGGAGGTCTCTACTCCATTTCCCAAATCATTGGGTCTTACTACCACCTGTAGAAGATTTGGAATCTGCTCACGTGTATAACACGATCATAGCAGGATCCCAAAAGATCAAGCACACAACAAAAGCAAGGGTAAGCTACCATTTGATTAAATATGTAGAACATTGTAACATTGCAAACAACACTTATTAATTCACAAACATCCTAAAACTAGACTCACCGGAGAGTCTAGCATTTTACAATCACAACACACAACAAGACTGACGCTTTCCGGAAAACTATATGGAATTCAGACCAGTAAGGTAGACACCTGATGAGGAATATTTGGGGTCCCAGACCCTTAAAATTTCATGGCCCCAGGCCTATAGTATCATTTCTTTTTTTTTTTTTTCCAACCTCTCATCAGAGCAACACATGCATAGGATTTACACTATGCTGTGTCTCCATCGACTTCCCACCACAGATGTCTTCGTCTATATGACTAGGAACATCTTGGAAGTCTGGATACCCTATTACGCCTATCCATAATTCCATACACATTATTCTATACAGTACATCAAATCTATCATTCAACAACTATTTCATACACACTATTTTACTCATGGTTTCTAGAATCAAACCAACATCATACAGTTCAAAATGTCCAGTCCAACATTTAAAATTCTCAACTACTATGCAATCATAATTCACTTAAAACGGTACATCATTTCTCCTTCAAACCACACAAACCAACCATACAATTTGGAAATGCAATGATACAAAGATATCTATTTCACAACAATTTACACTTGCAAGGTTTCCACAAGTACTCACAATATCATATCACATCTAGCACGTATATGTGTCACAAGCATATTCTCATATCACATATAGCACGTATATATATATATATATATATATATATATATATATATATATATATATATATCTCACAAACATACTCTCATATCACGTATAGCACGTATATATATATATATATATATATCTCACAAACATACTCTCATATCACGTATAGCACGTATATATATATATATATATATATATATATATATATATATATATATATATATATATATATATATATATATATATATATATCTCACAAACATACTCATCATTCACTTTATCAAACTTTTCATCAATACAAACCAGTAAAAATTAAAGAAGCTTCCCTTACCTGAGGGTGATGTTACACGTCAACCTAATTCCAATAAAACCTTAGGAATGCCAAAACACCTAATTTGTACCGTTCTCCCCCAATTTGGAAAACCCTAAAACGAAATTGAAGTAATAAACAAAATTAAACCCGAAAACATGAAATTGGGGAGTGATAGAGTAAGAGGAAACCTTTAATTCCACAATTAATTCCTTAAATTCTCAAAACCCCAAATTTTAACTAGCAAAAACCCTAAAATTCAAACTTACCGAAACGAAATTCTAATCGGTGGGTCTTCTGCTATTCTCCGTCGTGAGCACAACGGCGGTCTCAGATTCTTGATTGGGGAAGAAGGAAGTCTTGATCTGTAGGAGAGAAGGTAGAGCTGAGTTAGGGAGATGGGGGATACGTTTGTACGGAGAAGAAGAAGAAAACCAGGTTTTCTCTCTCTTCTTCTTTTTATTTTTCTTTTAATTACAGCATATTACAATACTTCCCAACAATTTAAAATTTTCGTCCTCGAAAATCATACTTACCAGGTAAACAGTTGCGGATAGTTCTTCCGCATCTTTTCCTCTAGTTCCCATGTGTAGTCACTCGGCTTGGTATTCCAGACTACCTTGACCACTCTGATGGTTTTACCTTTATACTGTCTGAGTTGTGAGTCCTCTACTCTCACTGGAGTGGCTTCAAAAGACAGATCTTCTCTCACTTGGATTTCATCAGCTTCCAAAATGTGGCTCGGGTC